GTGTTGTTACCCTGAGTGAATGTCTAAAGCATGCTTTCCCTGGTGGTGGCTGTTCCCCATTTCCCATCCCATAATCCCCAAGGCTTTTTGTAAAGGATTTACAGTGTAAGCATCCGAGCTTTTGCTTTGGGACCTTTCCTTTGAGAAGTACAATGTTTGCAGTGGTGGCCCACAAGCCAAGCTGTTGTGTGTAAGAAATCAATATTTAAGTGAACCCACTCAAAAATGAGTCAAGCAGAAAATGAGTGAAACAGGGAACTAACTCTCTCACTTGGATTCTGGTCTCTTGGCCCATATAAAATTGAATAAACCCTCAAATCTCAATTTGACTGTATACATTTTTCTCTATCTGTAATTATTTGTGCTTGAAAAGGCATGTGATTCACTATTTATTTATAGTTCATCACTTGAAATATTATTTTTAGAAAATGTGGGTTATAAATGTTATACATGTTCATTGTAGAGAACTTTGAAAATATGGAAAAGTACATAAAAAATAAAAATATGCACAATCCCATCTTCCCATATCTACAGTGAGCATATAGGGGTATTTATTTGCAGGTTTTTCTCTTTCATACAAGCAAACACAGTTTAATAAAAAGGAAACAGATTTACATTATTTTATATTTTCCTTTTTATAAAAATTTAATATGAAATGATGAGTATGTTACTATGTCATCATTTATTCTTTGAAAACATAATTGTTGAGGCTGCATAACATTCAACCCTATGGATGTATGATAATTTACTTCATCAATTTCCCATTGGATCTTTAGATTAGACTTTTAGGTTGCTTTAACTTTTCAATTGTATAAATAATACTGAAATGTTTATATCTGTATTAAAATCTTTGTGTGCCTCCAATGGTGGCTTTAGAATAACTTTCTGGATGTGAATTTACTAGGTCAAATAATGGGAACATTTTTAGGGTTCTTGATAGATCATAGTTCATCAGACCCAAGACCTCATAAATTAAAAGGTGCACCATTATTTTATGTAACATTAAGAAAGAAAATGATGTCAATTAAACATAATACTTTCTTACCATATACAGCTTTTGTTTTATAATTATTGAAAGAGTTTTCTGGACTTATCTGAACATACAATTAGCTGACATTTTATTCTTGTGCATCCATAAAGGAGAAGCAAAACTCCTAACTATGGTATTCACTCCCAGACTTCCCCATTCTTTTGAGTCACTTTTTGACTTTGTGGGATCTGTGGCCTGAGCGCCGTCAGAACCATTTGGATGAAGCATTTAAAACATGTGCTCCACTCTTTGCTCCAGGATTTTCTCCCAATAAGTGACATCCAGTCTTCAAACTTTTGCATAGGGGCAACTAAATTGCAAATGCTGTCTGGCTGACAGTGATCATGAAACACATCTTTATTTGGAGATATCAAAATGGGAAAAATGTACTTTTGAGAATGAACGAAATATGCTATATCCAAATTTTCCACCAGAAGGGTTTTCCCAATTTGTATTTCCACCAGTTGCACATGAAGTTACCTATTTCTCTTAAACCTTAATCAATATTGGAAACCTTTAATCGAAACCTTTGCCAATTTGATAGGTAACAGTAAGTACCTCATTTTAATTTTCACTTGTCTTACTATCAGGTGAGTTGAAATTTATTTTCATGTGTTTTGGTCATTTGTATTTCTTCTTTGGCCAAGCGTTCGTATACTTAGCTTATTTTTGTTTTGATATTAATTTTTAATTATTCAGAATTATCTACATGCCTTTCAGTAAGTAATATAGGGAGGGTGTTAATCTTTCATTCGCTATGTGTTGCAAATAGTTTTCCCCCTAGTTTTTAGTTTTATTTTTTAATTTAATTCATAGGATTATTTTTGTTATTTGCAGAGGTATCTCATTTGCATGCAGTCAAGTTAATTAGTATTTTCTTCTGTGATTTCTTCCCTTGTTTTTAGTGTTTTGAAAAGTTCACCACACACTTGAAATCAAGTAAATATTAATCTTTATTTTCTTTTAATTGTTTTATAGTTCTTTTTCCTTAACAAATTAATTCTGGAATGCACATGAAAATTACTTTAGTAAGCACCTAACATTATTCTGCCTAAAATCAATGAATTATACCAGGACCACATACTGAATATGTCTTTCCTACTGATTTCAGATGCCAACTTCTTCAAAAATAAACATTTTTATACTTAATATGATCTGTATATGGTATAGTTATTCTAGTCTAATGTTTTGTCTCTCTAGTTTTGCACCAGTGTCATATTGTTTTGATTGTTAGTTAAATTCACCATGTAACTTATCAACCAACCAGGATGCTTTTGCAAGTGATTATGCCTGGATGACAGGCACAAATCTGAGTATGGAGCACCCTTGTTATTATGATTTTATGATGAGTTTTCATATCTGCTACAGTAAGATTGCATCATGACTTTTATTTTCAAAATTGGTCACTCTTTTCTCAAGCATAAAAACATGCAGAATTATGGTAATGTGATGAATATCTATGTATTTTTGAATGATTCATACATGTCATATGAAATGGTTTGCTCAATTTTAAATGAACTTAAGTTGATTTTGACTTTTGGGTATATGTTGACTATTTCTGTGACTTTCCGTCGTGTTACACTAAATGTTACATGGCAGCTGAGAGCCATTACTTACTTATACCATCTCTCTTTTCCTATAGTTTCTATGGAGTTAATCTTCTGCTCAGTCTTTCTTCAGAACCTTTTGTTTAACTGTTATTTTAGGTACCACTTACATCTTTCACATTATAGCTGCCATTCTACTTTGTCCCACTATTCACCTGCTGTAGGCATTCTCATTGCTAATTTACACAGAGGAACAAAATTAACAGAGATTCAGTTTAGGTAATTCCCAAATTTAAGAACAACAGATCCATGAATTCCTTCCCAGATGATCAGAGGTCCGAGCTGAGTTGGGGGCAGAGGAACATGGACTTCTTAACATAAATCTCAGGAGGGAGAAGTCTCGCCTGAATTCCACATTGCTTCTCACTCTGTCCGGCACTAAGTCTGTTTTCAGTTTGGCTATTTTACAGCATTTATCCCCTGCCAGGTAGATGCTGGGTGACACAAGCTTTCCAAGGCCATAATTGTTCCTTCAACCATCATAATTTCTTTCCATCAATTACTGTGGAATGCCCTATTTCTCGCCTTACAGAAACAATGTTATAAATCTTCATCTCTCAAGAAACACAAAACACATTTTGTAACAGGAAGCTGATCAGCAGATGTTGGTTGAAAAAGTTTTGAATAGCCAGTGATTCCTACAGGAGAAGTATACCCTCAGGCTTGGTGTTTGTTATTTCTGACATTAACTTTAACTTGGTTTTATTAATGAAAACATTTTGGGAGAGAAGTGAGACACCATCATCTTTTTCCTTTTGTAACACAGCTCACCATATTCCCTTCTCCTTCCTCCTTTTATTAGGACTCATATATTAAAGATAAGTCACGTATGGGTTTACAGAATCCATTTTTCATTTTCAGTGTTCAAGTTGAGAAGTTCCCAAGTTACAACATAATGTGTTTCCAAAGTGCCTTTGCTAATAAGTTGTTTGGAACTTGGAACGAATTTTCCAGCAAAAGAAGGCTCTAATTGGTGTTTACAGTTCGCAGTCTAACCTACAACAACTTACTCAACATGCTACAAATCTGTTGAGTCAAGTATTTGCTAAGTGCTGGTGGTTAAGAATTTTTGTATTTACTGGGTTGCCTTTCAGCACTGTGTTGTTTGAGTTGAGCTGTTCGCTAACCTTGCCTTATTTTTATATATCATCTGTAAGGTTGTTACTTGTTCTGGTAAACATGATCTTTCTTTTGCACTAGCTTTGCAAATTGCTGCCCTCTCTTTTACAGGTTATCACAGTAATTTTCTGAACATCCAGGTAAAGCAACAGTAATTTGTACCTGTTGATCAAAACTTAGCCATCTCCCTATAAAGGCTGGAGGCAGCACAGGATGTCATGGCCTATGGGATGAGGTCCACTGCACAAGGAATAAAACATTATTAAAATATTATCTTCAGAGAGGGCAGACTTTCTTTGATGGCAGTGGGCAGGTTATTGTAGAGATTGTTTCCTGGGATATGGTTCTGAGTTGGCATAAAGAAGGGCCCAAAATCAAGGTTTGATGAAGAATGAATAAATGGATGAATGAATGAATGACAAAGGACTACAGGAAGACATCTGGGCACATGCATCAGTGTTTCCAGGTTTTGAAGCATGAGAGAAAGGACTTCACCTTACAGTATATCTCTCCTGTGAGGTCACCGGGAAGGCCAACCTTTAGCATGTCTGTGACTACCTTTTGCTTTTGCAGAGTTCAGAGAGAACAAAGTCTTCATGAGATTGTTTTACTTTGCACCTTTTCTTCATTGCCAAAGGAGAGTCACTGCCGGCTTTACATTTCAGCCTGGAAAACAAAGTATCCAGGACTATTTACCCCAGGAGGCCAAAAAGCCCGTTACAAGAGCTTTAAATATTCTTGTTTCCTGTTGCAATAAAAAGGTGCCTAGGAAAGGCCCCAGGCCAGATGCATGTGAACATCCTTGGCTTCTAAGGGCTGCCAGCAACCTCTGGTAGCTTTGGGCTGAGAGCTTTAGAGCAAGCGCTTGGCCTGGCAGTGAGCCTGCCTCCCACGGGAGGGTGGGCGTGGGCAGTCACTTCAAACAAATCTCTCCCCGCCCAGTAAGGAGTGAGGGACAGAGGGACAGCGCTTTAATACAGGGCTCTGAGGTATGGCTCGGTAAGGCCTGTGGCTGCTCGCGGCCCTTTAGTGGGCGCCATCTCCTCCTCGAGGCCGGCCGCCCTACAGGGGACCCCCATCCAGGCGGGGAGCATCTGCGCAGGGGGCTCTGCGCGCGAAGCCGCGGCGCGGAGGAGGCGCTCTCCGGCGGGCAGGGTGGAAGGCTTGGCTGGGGCGGGGCCGGCGGGGACACCTCCCCTCGCTCCGCCAAACTTTCCTTGGGTACCGGGCGTGTCTCAGCGACCGCTGGGGAGGAGGCGCGCCGCCGCCGCGCGCCGGGACGCGGTGTCTCCCACTATCCTCGCGCCCGGCCAGAGCCCGGCACCCGGTCGCCCCGTCGCACTGGGCCCCGAGGGCATGCGGCAGCCGCAGGGACCCCCGCTCCCGGGCTCGGCGGCGCGGGCGAGCGCGAGCGGTGAGTGGGCGCCGGCCGCGGGGAGGGTTCCCGGAGCCGGGCCACGCGTGGGAGGCGGGGCCCTTCGTCGGGGCCAGCCCGCGGCTTTTCGGGTGCCTGGCATTCAGGCAGGGCTCCAGAACCACCCCAAGCGTCTGGGACGGGTCTCTCCGGGCGGCGTTGGGGGTGCATCCTACCCCTTCCCACCTTTTCCCTGGAGTGGAAAGCAATCGGATGCAAACCCGCGTCGCATCCGCCCTTGTGGCGGGCTGCAGGGCTGGGCGCGAGGCTCACGAGCTCCGCGCTGCTTTCGCACAGGTGCTGCTTTTCCAAACTCGGTATTAACAGCCATCGACGGTGAGCGGAGGTGCTCCGTCCGAGCCTAGGGATATAACGTTTTTCAGCCTCTGTTACGCCCGGTGCGATGATGTGTCAGTTAGGGAACAGTTCGACCCAGCCAAGGCACGTAGAGATTCAGGAAACAGTTAAACTAGTAACACTGTTGGGGGTTGTGCTTTGTGAGTAAGTGATCCTCAGTCCTAGTGATCCCCTCAGCACCCGCAGACAACAGTGCTTTGTTTTGCAGTATTGCTTTCCCTCAGCAAGTTGCAGCTACCCAAAATTGCTTAGAAACTTCCCAAACATGTAATTTGAGTAGTAACTGTGAATATTGGAAACAATTTAGTCTTATTAAGGTAATCATTAAAATGGCCCTCAAAAGCATTCGTAGGACAATTTTTAACTGAGTACTTGCCACGAAATGTTTCCCCCATTATTTGCAATTGTCATTGCAGCACATTTCTCTCTCCTCACTCCTTTGGTCTTGGAACGTTACTTTAAAAGTTGAAGAACCCTTAGCTTCTCACTGTACCTAATTGTTTTCTAGAAGTCGGAGAATAAAGTAAATGTCAGCCACAGACAGATGATCCCTTCTTTACAAGTAGGTTAGTATTCCGTGCACTGCCTGGCACTTCATGGATGCATGAGTTTTTGTACTGCTAAGAGCCTTGTTGGGTTTTCCAGTGAACTGTCTATGGATAGTTGCTAAACCTGCTTCCCAGAGACACTGGGTCCAATTTTGTGTGGTCTGAGTCTAGTGAGTAGAATTTTCCTCTTTTAGGACCAGAAGTGGTACAGTCAGAAGCACACAACCTTGGCTCTGTTAACACTATGCTTGTCTAAACAGACTGGGACATTCTAGAAAGACCAGCAGGCAAACCCTGCCTTCAAGGCTTATGTACTTGAGATAAGCTTCCAGAGTTGTCTCTTGTTCCTTGAGACTGTATGGACCTTGGATGATGTGGGGATCTGGACATCTAACCATTTGGACATAACTTGCATTGACTGTCCCTGCCATATAACTAGGGAAAAAGATCATTTGGGCACATTTTTCTTGTTTTCCTTTTTTGTCCTTGGGATTCAAAACTTTGTTGCTTTGATTAAACTACAAATGACATGCCTTGATGTCTAAATCTTACAAAGGTATATGTCAGCCATCAGCCTCTTACAATTAGGTCACATCTATTTCAGGCATGTGGCTGTTTTATAAGATGTTTGATGGAACAGATCTGCATATGCTTTTTATGAATGGAGACTGAAATGAAAACATTAAAATGTGATTGCTTTTTGTGCATGTTCATCATAACCTATTTGAGCGTCTACATGTTCACTCTCATTTTTCAAAAACACACACACACAGAGGAACAAATGCATGCACAGCCTTATAGCCAGGCAGGGCACACACTCTCAAGTTATGCACACATGCCCAGGCTGGCTTTACCTCTTCCAAGGTTTCCATCTTCTTGCTGAGAGAAGAAATCCACCATAACTTATACCCACCCTCCTATTTCTTTGGGCTGGGGCAAGGGTAAGCATTGTAATTCCAGTGGGAATACTGTAACCCAATTACCCATTAGCTATTCTCTTTGGAATAGACATTAGCTCAAAATGCTTTCTGCTCTGTGATCATACCCAACAGAGTGGTTAAGTCTGATAGCAAGCTTCTAAATGGCAGAGCCCAGGCCCAGGCACTATTAATGTGGTATAAGGAGAAAAGCCGGGCTTTGCAGTCAGACCAGTCTTTGTTCCAGGCCAGGCTTTGTGACCTCAGATACATTGTTTCACTCTCTAGGCCTTAATTTCCTTGTGTGTAAAAATAAAGGTTATATCCACCTCCCGAGATGAAAAGAGAAAGGGTCTAGGCTCTTGAGGAAGTACTGCTTAAATGTTGGTTGCCCTTTTTCCCCCCAAGATAAACACTAAAACATTGGTATTTGTGTAAACATGGGTTCAAATGTACATTGTTCTGCCAGTGTGGGGAGGTAGATTCCCAAGCTGTACGTGACTTAGAGATATTGCACACACTTTCCTTTCTCGCTGTCCAGTTCCTGGCTTTGGCCCTTTTGCTCCTCCTTCCATCATTTCTCCTGCACGTGCTGAGCCTCCTCCTCCCTGGCCTTGCTGACTCCTTGTGCCTTGTCCTGGATTCTGTACGTGTGTGGAAATCCCCTGGAACCCAGTCCTGCCATGGAAGGGAGAGGTGGAGGGGAGGGGTGGGGAGCTGTCTGCAGAAGCCCTGAGAGTTGGTGCCTTTACCATGCTGGGTTAGAGAGGCAGCTGGAGTACAAGGGTCCAGATCCTAATCCCAGCTCCACTTTTGTGAGTTCTTGTGACTGTGACTGCATCATTTGTCATCCATGAATCCATTTTTTCATTTACACAATGGGGATAAAATGCCTTATCTACCTTTCCTATATAATTAATTCATCTATTCTTATCTGCATGGGTTATTGTTGGGTCCCATTAAATCATGCACGTGAAAGGGCTTTGTACCCTGTGATGGCCACATGGGTGTTGGAATTAAAGAGGAGGGGCCTCCAGATGGGGACACCCCAAGCAGGCTGAATGGGGTATAGGGTCTCCATGTTGGGCATGCTAAGTGGACATTGCTGTGGTCCCTTTATACCCATTTCCTACTCTCTGATGTCAAATGACACTTAAAGGAGGAAATCCTTGAAAAGATGGAGAAACTGCTCCATGGGGATATGAGAGGAAGATAAATTCAGGACTGAGATTACCTAATACTGCATGATCAGAGGTACAGGGCAAAGTTCAGAAGGAGGTTTAATTCCTTCTCGGAATCACCTGTACGGTCTGCTCATCTGTTCTTAGGGGACAAAAACGAATAAATAGCTCACCAGCCAGTGAGTAGGAAGAGAGTGGTAGTGGCAGTCACCAGACATTGAATTGGGGTGCCCTGTGCCGTCCTCACTGCCCTGCACCTTCTTGCTAACTTGGGTCTCTACGTTCGTTCTGCAAAGCACTACACCGACTCAAGGCATTCTTTCCCCTCAAACAAGCTAATTCTTCAATTCAGTCTGAAAGACATGTGTTGCTTTCTGCCTGACTTGCCTGGTGAGCCGGGAGAGTAGCACCCTGTGAGAGGAAGGCTCTGACCGCCTGGGCTGTACCCACCCCATCTTCACTCTCCAGGCTGACGGTGCCCTCCTCCTTATTCCTCTTCCCTCTATCTCCTAGCATGGCCTCTGCAGCACCTGAACCCTTGCCTTCCTGTCCCATCTGCCTAGCGCTTTGAACTCCTCCCTTGCCTGTGACCCTGACATCAGCCCGCCCCCATGGACCTTGCCTCCACTCCTCAGATATGAATCATTCATACACCTTAGGCTGGGCCCAACAGGGTGTCACTCTGGAAAGCAACCTGCTCCGCCCCTGGCTAAAGATGTTAGTCAGCCCCTGCTAGTTATGCATCAGCTAGTCCTATGTGTTTATTGTCCCTGGGATGATAGGCAGGAGGTTCTACTAGCCTTGGCCTTGGCTCAGCCTTGTAGAGACTCCCTGGCATCAGAGATGGGGTGTGGTAGGCAGCCAGGCTTGTCTGGAGGGCACTTGAGCCCCCTCATAAGTGCCACCAGTTTGTCCAAAGGCCCTCCAAACAAGTATGCAATCTAAATAAAAGCTGTGGGCTTGCTCTGTAAATGCAGGTTTCAGGCAAGACCCCTAGCCTTCCTTGTCAGCCAAGCTGTTCCACAGCCCCTTTGGTGCAGAAAGTCTGGTCCTGCCCCCAAACAGACTCAGAGCATGTAAGTCAAAGGTAGACAGTAGACTCAGCCAGATATATTCACTCCCCAAGGAGAGCCAGAAATCCAAGTTAAGGCTCAGAATCCTTGGGAATGACTAGTTATTTGAAGACGAAAGCAAGGGATCAGGTATGGCACATCACTGAATCATTTGCTTCCTGCCCTGCTTTACTTTTAATAGGTTAGTCCTTTGAATGGGGGCCCTTTTCTTGGACAAAACTGTCACATGAGTCTGGCAAAGAGAAAACAGCATAATCTTTTTCTGTACCCCCATGGCATTTGGATTAGCGTTCTCCAAAAAACAGAACCAGTAAGATAGACAGATATAGATATAGATAGATATATGTAAGAGGAGATTCATTATAGGAGTTGGCTCGTGGGATCATGGGGCTGAGAAGTCCCACAAGACTGCAACCTGGAGAACCAAGGAGCTGTCCTGAGGTCTGAGTCCACAGGCCAGAGAACAGGAGAAGATGGAGGCCTCAGCTCAAACAACAGGACGCATTTGCTCTTCTTCTGCCTTTATGTTCTATTCAAGTCCTCAGTATTTGGATAATGCCCACCTGCATTGGTGAGGGTGATATTTACTCAGTCTACTTATTCAAATGGTGATTTCTTCCAGAAACACCCTCACGGACACAACAAATGTTGTTTTACCAGCTCTCTGGGCATCCCTTACCCCAGTCAAGTTTACTCATAAAATTAATCATTGCACCACCAAATCAGGAATTGGCATTGGTACAACACTACCATCCAGTTCATCGAGCTTATTTGTATTTCATCAGTTGCCCCTCTAGTGACTCTTTTTCCTGTCTGATCTGGGATGCATGTTAAATTTGTTTGTCATCTCTCTTCTGGAATAGTTCCTCAGACTTTCTCTGCTCCTAAAATCCTTGCAGTTGTGCAGGTCTTACGTTCTATAGG